AAAGTGTGCTTCCGTTGCCGACAGCTACAGCACGCCACAAGCATCCACACTGCTCGAAACTGCCACAGCCTACCGATGTGGTGTGTGAGTGGCGTCGCATGACTTGACAGCTGCAGCAGACAGCCAGAAACGATTCTAGAGATGTCTCGTGAACTGCATGTAGTTACATGCAGCAGCCGGAAATGTGGCGAAATTTACGGATCCTCTAGGTTCTTTGACGCGCCGCCGCCGTTCTCCACGTGTGTATGCCCGACCAACAACCGGAAGCTGCTGGGGGTGTTCTCATTCTACATAAACATGTAGAGGCTTTGGAAAGGGCACAATTTGATTTTTCGATCTACGGCCCAAAACCTCGTTTATAATATGCTTTTGCGTTTTTTTGTCGTCCCCCCCGTAAAAAGCTGCTTTTGTGCAAATCCCTTACTCTAAACTCAAGTTGTTCCGTTTGGTTCCGCGAAACGTCGTCCCCTTTTTACAACGTTTCTTTTAAGGGGGTCCAGAAGCAGAATTTTTGATGTTCACTAATTTTGAAAACAAACGCAAGAGCACCAGAAATACGCACAAGGCACACGCAAGACCGGTCGGAAGGCATCGCGAAAAACAGAAATAGCTGATTCTCGCACAAGGCGGCAGTAGAGGCTGCTCAAACCATACATTTCACGCGTCTTACCTCCACACGGCTCCTTTGAAATCAGGATAAAAATTCACACCATTCTAAGTTCTAGTCAAAAGAGTCAAAACGGCAGGCGCTCAAAGAAGGTCTGTGTTTCCAGGAATTTGGAGCATAGTACTGACACCACTAGAGGACATCCTATAGAAGTGGGGGGTGCGAGTTGGCCCGCTCAAATCTGCTTCTGTGGTGGTGATGTCGAGGGTCGTAGTAGTGGCCTACAAGCTCCGCAAATTAAACCGATATCCAGTGTCTTGTACTGCTTGTGCTCGCCACCACTGACCCCAATCTCTTGAACTGCGGGTTTACAGCAGTAGCTGACGCCACTAGCTGCTGCTGACAACCCGCAGTTCAGGTGTCAGTGGCGGTGAGCACGGCTGTGACAAATGTTGGATGCCCCTTGGTTCCGGCGCAGATTTCGGACTGTCTTCAGAGGCTGCTGCGACCTTCGATATTTCAGCTCCAGTATTGTAGCAAACCTGAACGTGCCAGCACGCACGACGCCTCTTGATGGTGTCCTCTACTGATATTTAGTACTAAGTACCAGGTTCCTCCGGCGGGAAGGTTGTTTTCTTCTTTTATGTTGGATTAAGGTATGAGAAAAGAGCCAGCGTCAAAACTCCTCTTCTGGACCCCCTTAACGAGGAGCCTTTCGCAGCCTTCACTGCCAAGGCGATATATCTGTACTGCTGTATCGCCTTTTTGGAGCTTGAAGATTCGTCTTGTTTTGGCGTCCCTTGGTTGAACGGCAGGAAGGTTATTTTCTGCGGAGGAAATGGCCCACACGGACCACCTCCTCTCAGGGCAGGGTAAAATGAATTTCGAACGTCAGAGGGCGCAATATTCGTTGCAGCGAAGGTACTACTACTGTACAGGGGATGTAAATTGTAGGTTACCGATAACCAGAAGTTCTTGTGCCTACCACCAGCTGGTATCACTGACATAAATCATCAGTGTAAAGGCTTGAAATAGACTCGAAATAAGCCCACTCCCCAGAAAAAATACACTGAAAAGTGTAGTATTCTACATACACTAAACAGCAGTGTAGTACACGTCTCACTACGAAAAATGGGGGGACTGTGGTCGTAATAAATAGGACGACAAATAGGACGAAAAAAACACACACACACACAGCCGGTTTCCCTCCCCTAACTGCAAAGACTCCAGCACATTCCGTTCGACTGCGGTTAGACTAATATGCAGTTTCTGTCATTGGTTCTGTGTTGGTTGTTTGCTGCTGCTGTTGTTGTTGTTGTTGTTGTTGTTGTTGTCGTCGTCGTCTTCACAGTAACAGCCGTTGTTCCGGTCTCTGCTCAGTACCTTCTAATACTGGTCCAACTGACGCGGGTGCCTTCCGTGGTCACAAGCCAACTACCCCCACAAAAGGGGGGGGGTGCACCTTTCTAGCAATAAAACATGGAAACTCAAAACAAGCCCAGTGTCCAGTCGGTTTAACTCCACTCACTGAAAAGATTTCAACACGTCCCTTTCGACTGAGGCACAACATAAGAAACGTCCCAGTAAGGAACATGATCGTGCGATACCCCAAGACCAAAGAAACAACGGGTATATGAGCTGGACACGCGCTGCTGCTGCTGCTGCCGTGCGCCCACACCGTACCTATATACATAGCTCATGTCATGTAACTTTTGGAAGGGGGGAAGAGGGTTACTTTCGCGGCGCCCCCCGCGCCCCAGAGCGGCCGCGGGCTGCGCTACCCACTGATGCTGGACTGCCACAACCCCAATGTTGGCCACACCGAGCTGTCGGTTCAATGCTGTATGAAGGCGTGGTGTGTTGTTGTTTTCATCGCTTGAAAAAGATAGGATAGCTGTCGCCACGGCGAGCGACATCTGGTAGATGTATCTGTCGTCAGACGTGTGCGTCCACGGGCGGAAGTGCGTGGTACTGAGAGGCGTATTCCCACAACGTATCGACCCCCCCAAAAAAAACGAATAGGTGCAACCGCGACAATAATTCCCCGATCGGTAAAAAAAAAAGTCGGCGCAAAAAAAACGTTTGTTTCCTATCGCTGCACGCCTTGCGTGACACACAACAGGTCAAATTGGCTTTTGCTCACCATAGAGCGGTGGTACAAGCACAAAAATGGGCAACAACACAGAGGACAGCACACTTGTAAAGACCCTGTCCACCCGTCTGCTGTTTTCTGCACTGGGGGCAGGGAGCAGTGTCACAAACTGGGTGTCGCCTGCGATTTCCTCAAGTCCTTCCGCTCATTTTTCCCGTGGTGACCCCCCCTTTTTACCGCTCCCTGTCGAATGGTAGACGAAGTCAACAATCATATAGAGGCGGCGGCGCTGAGGGTCAATACATGACCAATCCGTGATGTAGTCTAAAACCTAGATAATGCGCGTACAGACACGCAAGATTTTTTGCTTTTCAGCGAACCCTTGCAACTCGGGGGGCCGGCAGTCCAGATTAGAAACCTCGCTTCGCTCGAAGAAAATACGAAAATAAGAGAATCAGCAGGATACGACAGCCCAAAGGAATAAGAAATCCGTTTTTTTTTTTTAGAAACTCGGCTAGTGCTTCTTCCCAGAATACTAGGAAACATAAATACAAACACAGAAAGACTACTTGTACCCATTCGAGATATGACCACAGTCGAACGGGATGTGTTGAAGTCTTCACAGCACTGAATGGAAGGGACACCGGCTGGGTACTGGGCGTATTTCGAGTCTTTCAAAAGCCTATGCACTTGTATTACACTGAAACTTTTGTTATCAGTGATGCCAGCAGGTTCTAATAACAAAATCACTGTATAGGTACATATACCACAAGACATCTCCCCCGGAGTTTTAGAGTACAAATTTAGGCTCGACCCGATTTTGACGTTTGCTTCCTATCTCCGGGCCCTATCTGTACACTATTATTTTTCCTAATAAAAGTACAGTAGTTCGCCGCGGCAGTTGTACTATGTCTCGACCACTAGACTACTATCCTGTTTTTTTTTACTGGGCAATTTGAAACTCGGCGTGTTACACTCAGCTATGCTTGTAGGCTCACTTCACCCTCTGGGTGTACCCGGTTTTGAGTCGCTCTCTGCCCGTCCGCGCGGGTAATGAGCCATGTTGTGTCGTTGGTTTACCCGGCATCACATGCATACGTATTTACGTAAGTGCATTCACTGCTGCGCGCACATGTGTCTCTCTCGAGTGGACGACCGCAGAACATCTTCATGTGTGGTCATGCGGCATCCTCCGCAACCTGACCTGAGAGTGACAAAGGAACAGCAGCAACAGCAAGCGTGCACAGGCTCCAATATACTGTAGAGGAGGGATCTGCAACAACGCTCGGTACAGATTTGTTCTTTGTTGACACACGCAATTGAAGTGTCCTGCGACCACTGCGTACGCTGCTGTGTCGTACTGCTGCAGACTGCTGTAGCCACGTAGTGGTACCGAGACAGCGGTGTGTACCTGATCCAGTTGCCACCGAGATTTCGCAAGCTCCTGCTCTCCCGCCTAGGCTGTTGATGCCGCCTCGTACATAGTGTCGTGCTGAAAAAAAAAAAAGTAAGTGTGAAAAAAAAAGCTTCCAACGGGAAAGCAGCCCCCTGTGGAAACCCCTCTGATGAGGCGGCTCGCGGCGCAACAGACCTCCACACCCAGGACCGGCTCTAGAGGGCGAACCAGAAGCTAATCTGCCCAGACAACAAGAGAGATATGTTAACACGATGCAAGAGCACAGTAGGGTATGTTTTACACGCCCAGAAACACATTATAGGGTGAGAAATTTGATCTTTAGCCAGAGCGTACCACACTGCAGCAGCTCCAAAATCAGCGAGGAAGCTTCACACGCGAACCGACCTCTACGCAAGGTTGGCATCTTGCAGCCTACTTATGCTGCCGACATATACCTAGGTCTCACTGCCACCTAATGCAAAAAGTTTGAGGCGATTTAGTGCGGCAGGAGATAAGCATGGTGTGTTCAAAATTCAAATTTCAGGAGAGCCCACGCCTGGGGGTTCGAACGCACGCTCTTGCATGTTACGCATGTACATCCACTGGATACACGATCCCCATCCAAAGATACGATGGAAATGCCCGATACAACCACGCTAGGTCAGGGTCAGGCTATCATAACAATTTATAGAAAATCTGGGCTTCGATTGGGCAAGTACGTCTGTCTTGAAGTTAAAAATAGACTCGGTGCTTTGTCATGATGGTACGAGTCAAACATGACACAAGACCCGGGGCTTGAAGGCCTTCGCCGTATCGCCCCCATTTTTTTCATCACCGGCAAAGACAAGTACCAGTTCCTCGCGGTAGATCATCTGACGGAGGTGTCGCGTTATTCGCGCAATGATATGAGGGTCGTATCCCAGCTATTCTCGGTCTCACTCGGCCCTGACACTTTTGCGCGAATCGGCTTGGACGAGCGGCAGGAGGTGTCCAATCGTCTCTACAAGACGTTGACGAAAAGGATTTCGAGCACGATAGAAAAGCTGGCACCGATTGCCCAGCTTCGTGAAGTCGCCATCTTCAACTTCGAATCGCATTTCATCGAGAAACCACGCACAGAAAGGGACCGTTGCAGAGAGTTGGCGGTGAAGCGTGCGCCAGCAGTCAGGGCGGCGATGGACTGCTTGAGAGAGAGCCCGGCATTTAAAGGCGACGATGGCAAAGACAAGGTCGTGGCGTTGGACGGGAGAGTGTTTCCGCCGGTCAAGTGGCAAGAGATTATCGACGCGGCCGCCAAGGCTCGTGCGAAAATGCACGAGTGTGTCCTGTACTACGTCTTCAAGAAGAAAAAACTAAAGGGCACGACCAAGAAGAAGGTTTTCTCCATCCCGGCTAGGAACAGCACCAACAAGGCCACGAAGAGTCAAGGGAGGTCGTCTGCACTGAAGGACTCCGTCGGCAATTCCTACGCTGGGGGCCAAGAGTGGAAGGTCCTCAAGCTGAACATGTTTGATGCCGCCAGAGAAGGCGGGGGTGTGGTGACACAAGACCAGATGCTGGAAATGGTGGCGTCCATAGGAGCGGCCACGCCGTACAGCATGGCGAACGCGACGGGAGGTGAGGGAGAGAGCGTGCGAATTTAAACGAGTAGATATGTATTGACTCTGTAGCGGGTTAGTCTGACTATACAGATTAAGCGCTGAAGAGCGTTGTCATCTCGAGCTCTCGCTCCCAGCCGAAGTTCACCCATTCTCCACGCCCGTGTTTTGACTGTTATTACCGTAATGCATACCGCATCGCATTGTGTTCACCCCCCCCCCCCCCCACCACCACCACCATACACCCCTGTTGGAAATGTCTCCTTTTAACGTATCAGGAGCCAAGCACGCCAACAAGGCGGCAGGTCCAGGGAAATGGGTCAGAGAGCATGGTGCCGATGGATTCGCAGACGACCCGTTTTACGAAGCCGACGCCCATGGCGTGGGTCTCCCCGTTCCTATCCACCAAGGGGTGCACCCGGAATATCTCGAGAAGGGAACTGCGGGGATTATCGACTACTTCAGGAAGCAGCTGTTGTCGAAGTGGCTGCAGTCGACGGAGCTACTCGTGGTTGGCTACGACCGACAGGAACTGGTGCCCGTGATCAATGGACACGAACAGCTTGGGAGAAGCGAGAAACTTGGTGAGTGCTCTAGGACCTTCGACCCGAAGTCAACGGACCCGGTTCCTTCGTTACAGTATGGGTCATGGCTTCGAGCCGATGGCAAGGCAGCGCGGGACGGAATCGCCGCCCACCTCGCCACGCGCGTGCTAGCTGATGATGTCTGGACCGGCGACACCAAGCCGAATGGAATCGTCGCATTCTATGGCGTTGGAGGTGAGCCTGATCTGAGTGCTGATCATCCACCTGGTGTAGATGTCGAGGGCATAGGTCTCGAGATGGCAAGGGAAGGTGCCGGGGAGGCGCTTCCCGAAACTGAACCACTCCTTCACTTTCGAGACGGAACCGACACGATCGAGGGCGTCGAGCGCCAACGTGGGCCAGACATCGGCGAGGCGGAGCTCTCCGTGATACACTTCATCGCTTGGGCGAAGAAGTACTGGGGGAAAAGCTTCGACAAGTGGGTCGTTTCATCGGTAGACACGGACCTGTGGATGAACATTCTACTGGCGATGACAACTGGTTGGCTCACGCCCCGTGGCGAGAGGGCAGTTGATGTGACAGTCCTGAGGGTCGTGGGTGGCGAGACCAAGTTCCTGTGGATGAACAGAGTGTTCGCCAGCATCTGCGAACTCCAGGACGAAAGCGAGTCCGCGTGGCCGCCATTGATCTTCGGGAGCTGGATTCCCACGGACAACGACAAGGTCCGTCTGTTCGTCTTAACCTTCCTGGAGTCGGGGTGTGACCACCTCCCGGCAATTTCCGGGCTGCCGTTCGACAAGATGTGGGTACTCGTCCTTAAGAGCGTACGGACGGAAGGTTTGTTTGATAAGCCGTTGTTCTTCGAAGAGTACGACGGCACGTGGGCCGTGGATGTCGACGAATGCGCGAAGCTTTTGGCGACCTTGTTCTTCTACAAGGATGAAGCGGCGTTTGGCACTGCTCATTTAACTCCAGCCCAGGTGGTCCAAAGCGTCGATGGCGACGTCGAGGCCTACGTGAGCGTGATCCGCTACGCCATCCTCCAACTCCCCAAGAAGAAGACGACCGCCACCTGTCCGTCATATTATTCCTTGCGCAAGAAGGCCGAACGGGGTAATGCCATCTTCCGGTACTGACAGAATGGCCTAAGGGAGACCATGCCGGCGACAGAGTTTGCCGGCAAAGGATGGAGCGTCGACCCACGAGGAAAGGGGAACGACGGCGTCGAACTCACAGTCAAGAACTGCGTGCTTGACCTGTCCGAGTTTTCTTACATCGCCCCAGACCGAAAGACAATCACGCTAGCGTGCGGTTGCAATCCGGAGACGACCCTGTGCAACAGGTGCAGGTGCAAGGACAGGAAGTGCTCGCTCGCTTGCGGCTGCAGAGATCGTTGCACCCAACGTCGGGCGGCGCCGGCACCCGTGCAAGCAGGGGGGAGGTCTGCATCCCGGCCTACGGTGGGTGCTCGTCACACTTGGCCGATCGAGGGTGCCGCCCGACCCCAACCACCCATCGAGACTCGACCACGGCTATCCGGGAGTGTTGCCAATGCCATGGCACTCTTTATGGCCTCTATGAAGCAGCAGGAATCGCACGGAGCGGAGCAGAACGGCGTGGAGGCGGGGGCCCCTGAGTCACCTGCGAGCAACGACGTTTCCTCCGGCGAGGCCGCGGAATCGAAGAACGCAGAACTGGAGGACCCCGAGTCGGACGAGAACGGCGCCGGTTGGGTCGGTGCGCTCGACGATTTGATCAAGTTGGTTTCGGACGAATCTGGGTCCAGCGATGGGGGATCTGACAGGTTGAGCGGGAAGAGCGACGACCCGGGTTGGAGTGACGGGGACACAGATGATGGTGTTGCGGATCTCGTCACCGACGCCTGGAACTGAGATCTGACTACTTCTTCAGGCAGGTGCATGTAACGTTCCTTGAGAGACCTGGCTTGGGATTGGGGGTGTCGTGCCGGGCATTATTGCACGTCAGATCTCCACCATCGTAGGGAAAGATCGCTGTGGTATGATTCATTGTAACTCCATATTTCAATGCCACATTTCGCGCGTCTTTGTTGGTGGTTAAACAGGCCCGTGTTTCACTTCCGTTGGATGCAGGCATCCGTCAAATACGACGACCCTGGGATACAAAATGTCAGGCGGATGAACAGAAGCCTAACGCTGACCAGCCGGCTAGAGCGCGCGTTTCCCCCCCCGTGTTCTCCTACCCAGTTGCGCAGGGAGGTGGATGGGGGGGATTATTTTTCCTTCGGCCGCGCTGGGTGTCCGTTGTTTATTGGCATGGTATTTTGTGGGTCGCAAACTGCCTGAAAGGTCGGGGATCGGATGCTGTGTGCGTTCCGGGCTTGCTTGTGTAGTTTTTACTGACTGTAAGTAAGATGTTTGTTGCTTTCAGTTCGGGCATGATGTTGATAGGTTTGGATAACCCGGGGGGGGCGGTCTTGTGTGCGGTGTTCGTGTGTAAGTATTTCATCGCGTTTTCGACACACCCAATGCTCAGTGCGTACACTGTATGTACGTGTATTCGTATGCTTACTACGCTTTGAGAAAAAATACTTCAACAATAAATAATAATGTGTACATATTGCCGGCCGTGCCGTCTGCGTGCGACATCAGATAGCACAACGTTATCAGCGACCAAGTTCCCTGGCCGTGTTACTGTCGCTACTCCCATCCTCTCAAAAAAAATTTCTCCGGAATTTCAGAGAGTTGTGCTGCTGGGTGAGGGCCCCGAGTCAACAGGCACAAGTGTGTGCGGTGCAACACAGCAGCAGCAGCAGGAGAGGGGGCACCCCAACAGCATTTTCAGTTCAAATCTAGCTGACGCCATTCCAGAGTACTCCACCTGTAGTACGTCTTGCAGCATATTTTCAAGTGCTGTACAACCACAACATCAGCAGCTAACCTTACCAAGGCTCGGTATTGCCGGCGGCGTGGCAGAAGATAAGCAAGCATGGTGCCTGTATTTGAATGCAAGTTTTCGACTTCATCCGTGTCTACCTCTCTATTCCCGGCACCAATCAAGTTCAACCCTTCTGAAATATACTCTGTGGTGCTTAGTCCATCTTCCTTCAAAGTTTGGTGGCGATTGATGCTGTAGTGGGCGAGTTCTTGTGCTTGGTCGATTTGGCGGTGCATAGCAGTGTGGTTGCGCCGCGTAGATACAACGAGTCTCACATTTTTTTAGGGGAGGGACTGCGTGTTGCGCCGACAAGTTTGAAGCCTACAGTTGACGGAATTTCCCAAATCTTGGTTCCCTATATAGCTACTGGAATAGTCTACTGCTGTCAACCTTTAGCCTTGGATGGATGTACGCCGGTCGCGCAGCTCTTCTGCGTAAACCATAATTTTTGTTCCTCCGCCTACTTTTTTTTTTTTCAGTCGTGCAGCACTGCTGTAGTGTCGTCCACCAAATGATACCTATGGTCTATGACGTATATATATGAACTTTTTTTTTTTAAGGTCATGGACCATAGAATGCTACAGCAGTGCCGTCCAGGTGTCCTTGTGTCCTGACCGCTGTACGGAGCCCCCAGCCGGGGAGCAAAGCACCGCAAAGACAACCCAACCGGTTATTTATAGTCATAGTCTTTGAAGCACCGTGGTCTTTTTTGTTGGTGGGGAGGGCAGGGAGGACGAGCAACACATACAGCAGCATACACGGGGAACCCGTGTTAACACAGCCTCGGCTGGGCGTCACCACTGCTACTATGCGTCCCAAAGGAAGCAACCCAGGTACCGCTTGTGACTTACGTCCCTGACAGGAGAGCTGTAGAGATGACATAAAAGCGATGGAACGTACTCGCTAGCGTGTACCGCTTGTCCTACGTGATGCGCGTACCAGATACTGCAGGTGTGTGTTGGTTTGAACCGAACTTGACTCCTTGCTTAACATTGCTGTATCAAAATTCACAAGTTGGGCACCTTGAGCCCGATACCACCACAAACCTGGTCTGTATCACCCTATTGTATGTAGTATATGCACAGAAACAGAGGATTCTCCCCGACATTTCTCATTACCCAGTAAAGAGGAAACTGCGGGGGAGATGTCTCGTGCTGTATTTACGCATGTACACTGCTGTGCAGCAGTGTTATTGTGATTAGCACCTGCTGGCATCACAAGTTATCAGTCAATAGGCTTTTTAGAAAGTACCCATGATCTCACAGAAAGACCACCCGTTCGAGACGATATCACAGTCGGAGGGGCTTTAATATACTCGAAAAAAGCCCAGTACCCAGCCGGTTTCCCTCCACCACTGCAAAGACTCCCAGCACATCCCGGTCTGCTCTGTGGTTATATTTCGAATTGGTACCGTAAGGTTGCGAGGCAGCGCACAGGGGTGCGATCGATTTCCAAATCGAAATTTCTCGACAACCAGGAGGGTGCGAGCGCCAACTGATACTTGTCAGGAAACCTCTCGATGAGATATTTCCAAAACCGCCCTATTCGACAGTGGTAACCTCCTGGTTGTGGAGAAATTACGCTTTGAAAATCGTTCGCACCCCTGTGCGCTGACTCGCAACCGTACGGTAGTCTCTCTGTGTTTGTATTTATTTTCCCTAAGAACTACCGAGGATGTCTAGGCCATTATCTATACAACAGATGTTTTTGTGCTTACAGTAGTAGCACCAGCTGGTTATCATCAGTGTGTATATATTTTGTAGCCTTTCAACAGACTCGAAATAAGTCCAGTACCCATCGACCCCGTCAAGTGTTAGACTAGTACGGACAGAAGAAGGTACTAGGCAGAGAACGGAACGGTTTTTAATGTGAAGACAACAACAACAACAACCCAGCCGGTTTTCCTCCACTCATTGAAAAGACTCCAGCACATCCTGTTCGGCTGTGGGTGCATCTCGAACGGGTAGTCTATCTGTGTTTGTATTTTTTTTTTTGTTATGTAGAAGTAGCATAGTTGTCTTGCCGGGAGTTTTTATGTTTTCGACCTTTTCGGCACCGCCGCCACGACAGCTATAGTACAGCTCACCGCCGTCATGTATGAAGGCACCTCCGCGTAGCTTATAGTCCTGATACGAAGGGAAATGAAGGTGCGTGGCGTTCTGGGTAGGGAAAACAGCGTTGGAAAGCACGTCCTCAGTAATCAGGCTTTGTTTCCCATACAGCAGCAGAATAGTGGTCCCTGTGTACAGTAGGAATGCCGGTACGAACCAGCCGATTTCAACGGCATTCTAGCGGGCAACCGGCATTATTCAGAGTACTTAACCCCATTAGCCCTAGGTTCCGTTTCGGCGTCAAATTGTTTTTCCCACGGTAGAAAAAAAAAAGAGACACAAGTGCAGAAAAGACAGCAGTGTACTTCTGTACACGCAACAGCTATCTCCACCTATAGGCCATGCGGTCAGCCCGCCACAGGGTGGTGGCCACCCACAGACAGAGTTATAGAAGGGCTGATGGGTGATCACGCTGCGGCCGGTAGGCCAGGTACCCTTGTGTAGACCTTGAAATGATCAGTCGTCTAGCTGGCTCAACTACTCTATTTTCAGTATATACCGATAATGATCAATCAAATGATCAGTGAAGGGCCATAGCCAAGGGGCCCCCATCAATCTTGGTCGCGGGGGGGGGGAGAGAGGCCTTCTATGTCCCCTGGCGGGGACATTTTGACCAAATCCTCGGGGTTTTGACATTTTTCGCGCACGTTTTTTCGCACGCGCGCGCGGGATCCCACGCAGAGCTAGTGGGAATTATGGAATACCCCCAGCCTACGCGTCCACCTTGGTCGCGAGGAAGGGGGGGTCTATAACGATACTAAAGCCTGTACAATAATGAGTATATTGGTTTTACTATGTACACACTAAATCCTGTGCAGTAGACTGCTGCAAGTGAGCCGCCTAAAATGGCTATCCTGCGCGTGTTGCGCTGTTGGGATGGGATGGTATTGGTAAATCCTTGTTGCTGGGACGGGGTGGGAGCTGCTGGATGTTTCAGTGGGATGGGGTGGATACGATCACCACGGGGTGATGGGATGGGGGGGGTACTCATAGTCGTGCATGCCGTAGTCGTTAGACCATTGACCTCGCATCCCTACAAAGCCGGGACGGAGCACGCTGGGTTCTCACCGGACCAGGCTCTCATGGGATGGGAAAAATGTACGGTGTTCGCTGGCAACGGTGGCGCCGGTTTGTTGTGATTTTTGTTGTATTTTATGGTGGGAATGGATGCGAGGGAGGAGCACACAAACGTTATTTGCCCCAATCTTTTCCCCAAGGGGAAAAAAGGTGTGCTTTCGTGCGATCGCGTGGGGCATAACCTCTCGAAGCAAGTTTCTTACGCACACACCGGTGGCCACACGTCACATACCCCACTCACACGCAAACGTGGCGCTGCTGAGAAATTGCTTGTGGCATCGAACCTGCTCACAATGTAGCATGTCGTTATTTTTGTGTCATCTCTCATCATTTCGTTACCCCCTCGTTACCCCGAAATAAATTCAGTCGATGAGGTATATTCTATGCGCCATGCGAAGGAAAGGGCAGGTCGGCATACATCACAGCAAGAACGGTTTTGTATGAGGTGTGTTGTGAGGTGTTGTGCCTGATGGCTGCTCTCCTGCATTCAAAACTTTGAAAAATAGAAACATCAACAATCAAACTGTCGTTCTTTGAGTAGCACCGGCCGTTCTCTTCTTGATATTTGATATATACCCCGAAGGAAGGTAAAACAAATGTATGTATATCTCACAACAGCAGAAAGCCCGCCGAGCATCAACTGTATTTTCACCTGCTGGCATCACTGATAATTTGTTTTCAGTGTATAGGCTTAAACAGACTCCAAATAAGCCCAGTACCCAGCCCGTTTCCCTCCATTCACGGTAAAGACTTGAACACATCCCGTTCGACTGTGGTCATGTGTCGAATGGGTAGTCTTTCTGTGTTTGTATTTTATGTTTCCTTATATTTTCGCTAAAGAACTGCTAAACAGGGAAGGTTAATGGCGTTTTCTGGCTGTGCGTGCCTGCCGCTGCAGCTGTGTGCCTGATAGCTGCTTGCTGAGACTAGCACCGTTTTTTTTATGATTCTTAACGATTGATAACTGGCTATTTAGTGCAACTCAACACGGTGTATGTGTGTTCGTCCGTTCAATTCTGGCGCCGGTTGACGTATCAGCCGGGTCAAAAGCTTTTTTCATTTTGTGTTCTTGTTTTATTGCCCCACCTTTCCCCCTGCGGTGCTTGCCTTAGTTTTTATCGCGAGAAGGGTTCAGCCATCCCCTTCCCTCGTCGACGTTCAAACCGAAGTTTGTTTACTCACGACCTACATGAAGGAAGTAGATCGCTTTCAACTGGTAATAAATCCCAGGGAAAAAATCCTCCGGAGAGAGAACCGAACCGAACCGACCGTGCACGTTCAACACTATTTAGACCACCTCTAGATGCTCTTGTGGAAGCATAGCAACTGTATCGCTGCCGATGAAGAACTGAAAAGCACTGGTGCACTGGTGTGTGTGTACGCGATGCAACTGCTGTATCGCGGCGGTTGTGGGTGTGCTCCCCCTCCTATTGTTGTTGTTGGTGTCAACCGAACCCGCTCTTTCGGGGGAGATGCAAATTGGGCGCCCAATTCTTGGGCGGTGGCATCCCGATGACTCGAACAATGCAGGTGAAACCGGCAGTCCGGCGGAAAGAGTAGTACACTGGCCGAAATCCAAGTTCATGCGTACGCTACAAGCTTCCCCCCTTGGGAGTGGGTTCCAGCCCACATCATATCCCTAGCATTGAAACAGTACTAGGGTGAAGCATCGCCCCCGCCGCCCCAAGTGGGCGGCGGGGCCATAACATGATAGAGGTCGAGTAGGTGTGCGAGAACGGCCGACGTTTTCTGTTAGGCTATGGTCGATGCTGTCAATCATTTAGACTATTGTAGTTGGGACCTCTCCAGCATTTTATTTCGTGGGTAATGCAAACTTCGTGTTCAAAGCATTCATCCCATACAACAACCAACACGCGCGTCACCAATCAATACTGCATTCGGTACGGCAATGGTCGATACATTTACGTTTTTTCGTGAAGTACGTTGGCAGTCGCCCCGGTAGTGGTAACCTCGAGGCAGAGCACCCATACGTACGTAGGGCAACTTTTATTTTGGACCGGAACAACTAAAAATAGAACATCCAGAACCGGGTAGATACCCGTCCTCCCATCAATCACATGTCGATTATGTAGGACAGCATGTAGGACAGAGACAGATGATTGGTTGATGGCCACACCGCCGAGCGGGAATCCCCCGAAAGACCGTAGCACAACGGCAACAGCACATAACACACGTAGAAAACACACGAGATAACCAGCACAGCAGCACACGAGACTGATGTGGACCAAGGGCACCTAAAGGCACACATAATAGGAGGTCGGGTTCGACTGTCCGAGCCGGTTGGTTGCTGTCGGCAGCACCACTAAGCGAGGGAGGCGACACAGGTCAAATCTGCGCTGCTGCTGCTGCATGCTGCTGTCATCTATCTATCTGCAGGCCGATCTTTTGAGCTTGCTGTCGCGTACTGCTGTGTGCTGTATCAAGCGTGCTGCTACTGCTGTAAATACGTGTGTGCTACAGCGCTTAGCCCCCTCATTCGCTTGCGGTAGGTCTGCAAGTACGACCGACGTGCGATGCACTTCTGTGCTCTATGCTGTCAATCAGTTGGGACATGTGTCGGCCTTTGCCACGGCGGTTGCGCGTGCCTGGACGTGCATGCTTCGGAGGGGGAAAAAAATGAGGGGGCTCTATTTTCTAGTTAAAACATATTTGAGGGTACTCTATTTTCTAGTGAAAGCAGACGACGACCATTTCTGCCTGAAATATGTTAACACGATGTGAGAAACCTTACCCGCAAATACCTCTCTCTCTTTGCTGGTGACCCAAACATAAAACAGCGCGTTCTTTAGGTACCGATCATTACACGAACTCCACATCTCGAATAGGCGCAGGGGAGTGCACAAAAGCGATGCACCCACACTTGGCAGTCCCGCCAATACAGACCTGCACGAGCACCGTTTAGCACCCAAGTACGACCTAGGTCAACTCCAAGCACCACCAACCTAGCACCTACCCAAATCAAGAACCAACCTAGAGTGATCGCGTCAGTGCCAACCTAGCGCCTGTTAAAGCAATCACAACCTAGATTTTTTCCACCAACACCAACCTAGCGCCAATGCCGGCACATCAACCTAGAACTTAGCCACCCAGCGCCAACACTGCCCCTATCTTGTGGGTTTGGGGTTAGGGTTAGCGTTATAATTCTTAGCCGGTTTCATGCCTCGGCCTACGGAGAGAATGTGTTGTGTGGGAGTGCCGTAATTGCCTTCACTGCATACTACTGGTTGCCGGTTGAGGGACAGAACATGCGCTTGTAGTGGACTAAGTCAGGGGTTCGAACCTGGGCCCTTTCAACCCTTTTGCCCCACTGCATCTGGTGTTTTGGGGGTTGTCAAGGGTGTGGGTGCTGGCTTCTGTGCACACCCCTGGGTGCATCCATTTTTTCCACCGCATCTCCACATCCTGCTGATGGTTGCCGCTTGTTCTCTGTACACCTGTATTGTTTCTGTGATTTTTTTTTGTCTTGATGGGGTGGATGGAAGGGAGAGGCAGGCGAAAACGCTATGGTGGTTGCTCATGATGTTCTTTGCCCCAAGCACCAACAAAGTGTGCTATCCTGCGATCGTGTGTGGGACAGACATAACGACCTCGGGATAGAACGAGTTCCACACCACACGTATGGAAGCTTTTGAGACATTTGGATGTGGCATCGAACCTGCCGACATGACCAATTTGTTTGGCGTCGCAGCAAAAGTTTCACCTCTTTACCCCGACGGAAAACCGAATCGGTGATAGTAGTCTGTGCGCCATTCCAAGGAAAGGGAAGGTTGGCATGCATCACAGCAACAAAGGTTTATTATGGTTGCGTTCTTCAGTGCCCGTGAAGCTGTGCCTGGTCACGCTCTCACGAGCAAGATTACAACTTTGAAACGCTCGAAATATAAACATACAACGCGTTTGTGTGTCTTCTTGACCTACAGTGTAATACCTCGAGGATTCGAAACAACGCCTCGTGCAAGCAGCAGAAAGCCCGCCGCGCATCAACTGTATTATCGCTGAATGAAGAGGAACTCGACAGTAGCAGTAAAAGGTGTTCATGTACGCGGTGCGACTGTTGTATACAGCGGTTTCTGTGCTTATTCTCCCCCTATAGCGTTGCTGTTGTTGATGGTGTCGCCCGAACCGCTCTATTGGGGAGATGCGGTCACATCCCGACAGCTGCCTGCACCCACCCGCCCGGGCAAGCTACGTTCCGGATTTTCGGCATTGACATCTCGATCATCCAAATAACGCAGACGAAACCGACAGTCCGGTCGAAAGAGTCAAATGCCGGCCAAAAGCGAACTTCTTGAGTTTTCTGACACAATGTTCATGTTCTCACACAATATTCCTAGGAGCCGAAAATCGAGAGCGACCTTTCCGGCGTGCGGAGTCCCGCCCTTGGCACACAATCCAGTAGAAGACATCATGGAGCCGCTGCATGCGCGTTGGCACGCCCAGATCGGTTGCTGGGGTCGTGCTGTCGAAGGCTTCGTTCGGTCGCCACGACGAACTTCTTGTAGACGTCAGCGCTACCTAGTTTGTCCGAACAGTCCGCAAGGCTGGGTCCACACGGTCATACCGTTCACGATCCACCGCTATACGCGCCGTCACAGACCTATCCCCTGGAACTGCTGGTCTTCAGAAGAAGCTCACAGTGGATCGTGAATCGTACAGTATGGACCCAGATTGTGTGGAGGTACTTGTAAGATTGCTTGATACGCGGTCTCATATGCGGTTCGAGACAAGCGCCAACCGTTGCTCTGTGGCATCTCACGGATCTTTTGGTGCTTCTTTGGTCTTCTCCGAAATCAGTCAAACCCATCAAATCATGTCGTTCTGACCTCTATCCAGTATTACCTGTCTTTCCCACTCCCCAAAGAATAGTACTGGATTTCCGTGGAGTTGGTGTTCGGCGTATCAACGTTCCCACTGGAGCTCTGACCTCAACCACGCATTATTCTCCCTACTCCTGGATCCAGGTGAAGAAGATTCATACTTCGAATGCAACATTTGCCTGGATGGAGTGAGGGAGCCCGTGGTGACGCGATGTGGCCATCTGTTTTGCTGGCCGTGCTTGTATCGGGTAGGTAGTGTGATCGTGCGGTGCAGGGTCTCAAACCGCTCGAACTGCCTGATGTTCATATCATGTCTGCTACGCTACGCAGGGTGCAAGCAGCCAAATGTTCAACGTGGTCATGTTTGGTGTCCGAACACCTCCACCTCGCGATAGTAGTCGAGCACGTAAGGACCAGCCACATGTGTTGTGCCTGCTTCCCTCAGCTGTCATCGAGTGTTTCATCACGTGATCCGTATTCTGAGTACGATACTTTGCTAGGGGTATCACCATGATGGAAGTGTTCACTCCCACCAATCCGGTCTGGCTTGTTTTCTGGTCTCAGATAGTCGGGTAGAGGCCTTCGTTCACATGATCTCTTGATTGCGCGGCCCGTCTTCCCCTGCCTTGTCTCCGTGTTCGGGACATGACGCATTCGTCCTGCAGTGGCTCAACACCAACCAAACGGAATGTCCGGTGTGCAAGGCCGGGGTCACAGCTAGCAACGTTATTCCTCTTTACGGCAGAGGGGCGGAAAGCGTAGATCCGAGGTAGGGATGGTAACACTGGTCATACCTCCCGTCCAATCCTGTGACAGTCTCGAGTCGGATGCGGTGTCGATCCCTTGGAAGTATTTGACGTACATTGATGTTTCAATTTAAGGCATCTTCCATTAGAGACGCGTTACCACCTTGGGTTGGATTCCAACATATCTTAGCGTAACTTGTCTCTGCTTGATGCATTTGCCGACCTAAATCTTCCGATGGCTATGGGTCCCAAGTGGGAGCCTCACGGTTTCAATCATGATCACTTCGTTGCCAGGCTCTACGTACACAAGGCTTGAGTAGTTGTATCCCAGAAACGGGATTCCGCTCAACCTGCGCTTAATTTGCAAGGCATGTAGAGGCGAACAGAAATAGGTTCATCCTCCACTGACCGCTTGTGAACGACTTGAAGGCGCGCGTGGGTTTTGCTTTTTGGCAGTATTGTGCTGAAGGGGACTCAAATCGGGAAGAAATGCAACATTGCGCGCACCTCTTTTTTGGCAGGACAAAACCCACCGAACGTGATGGTGTTCCTAGTCGGCCGGAAGCAGAACGTCCTCAGGCAGCAAGACTGAGGCACGCCAACGCCTTTACAGGTGGTTTTGATGTTGGAGGGGGAGGTGGAGCTGGCCCAACAGGCGAAGATGGTGTTGGGAATGGTGCCGTAGCCGGCGGGCATGTGCACTTCCAGGCTGGTCTTGGATTCTTCCCTTCATTGTTCGGACTTCAGTTTGTAAGTGGCACGAATCGTTTGTGAAATCTAGGGCCGTTCGTAGTATCCTTGTAGAACGCCTCTGGGGTCGATGGACAATAACAAGAGCATTCCCGGGCAACTCCGAAGGTGTGTATACCAAACTTTCCGAAATTAACACTATATCGCAACGGGGGCAATCGGACCCCGGAACGTTAATGGCCAATTATCTCTGTTGGAGGCATCCCCGCACACACGATACACGCACACCTTCTTCTCCCGCGGTCCTCTCGTGATAGACCTCGATGTTAGCATGTCAGCGGGCTATGGAACCCTCGTCCAAATCGAGGGGGTTTGTTCGTTAGTTTCCTAGCCTCAGAAATACGAGACCGATGTTTAATACACCACACAGCTCTTCATTATTCAGGACTGGCCTCGCCGAGGGTTTCGTATGTCATCGTCGAAGTAATGCCGCATTTTTCTCTTCTGCACCTTACATGCGAACCAATCATGTACGACCTTAACAGTTCTGTGCCCTACTTTATTCCGCAACACCCCCTAAGCGATGTACCACTTCAAAGGAGATTTCTGCGGTAACTTGAAAACACATCAATCGACACTGACATGGCGTCATGCCATGTCCTCTGTTGCGCTGTGAATGATAGCAGCTCCCATGTGATATCGCCAGTACAACGTTTTCCTTACACGTGAACATCACAGTAATTAAACCATGAACCCGCCAAACGTTACAGGTCGGTCTGCAACCTAGCACGAACGCCTTGGTCCAGACCCATCTTAATCAACTTTAGCCTTACGAACTGCCAAGCATGTTCCCATATACCGGGTATTTTTCAACGGCTCCCAAGTACAATACTTTCATCGCACTCCAACCCGAACCATTTCACCTTAACTTAAGCGTTACCATCCCCATTAGGATCTTCACCAATGTTTACATTAGCAGACATGGTGACCTCGCCCTGTGTGTACGCATGCTGAAGCACATGCTTTAACTCGGAAGTCACTTTCTAACTCGCTATCCGAACCAAACTTAGCCGAGCTACATGCACGTCATGAACCTCTCCTGAAACGATGTTCTGCACTTTGTATACATGCTTACTCTTCGCTTCGCCTCGACCACTTTCCATGGACCGGTCCATGTGGTCCATTTCATCATGAGCTTTGACGTCGAGCCCGGTCTACGCACCCGTGCCCAACTACGAAGTCACCAACCTCAAAATGAGGCAGCTCTCCCCGGTTGGCATACCCCGTTTTTCCCCCAAGATTCTGTTTTTCCCTGTCCTGCATCTGTTTTGCATTTCCTATTGACCAGCCGCGTCATCAATCACATTTCGCTTCAACCCTTCGTCATCTAGCACGTGTATCTGCTACTCTTCTCCAGTCGCAGATGTGTATCGCGGAAAAACTAGTCCGCGATGCCTCACCAAACATGACATGGTATGTGCTCGCGAGGCGTTGACGATAACCGTTATTCAGTGTCCATTGTACGGCTGGGACCAAATCAACCCACTCACGCAAGTCGCGTCCCAATCTTCAGAGCTTATTCGAGTGTGGTTCTTGAAATGAGGTGCGGTATCGCTGACCCACATCTGCGGAACACCCAAAGTTGTCCACCAATTCAGCAAAATCTTGGCTGTTGGAGCGGCCATGCATGACTCCGTTGGCCCTTACCACACAAAATTTCTAGGATCATTCATCACCACTAGTATGTGTTTGAATCCAATTCCTCATCCAAACCGTCGACATCCAACGGGCCACTCTGGCCGATGTCCAATACTCCGGTTTTGCAACATGCACTATTTTGCAAGCGGCGTTGGAGCCCTCGAATCTCCACAATGCAGGCGCTGTCAAACTCTTTCACCTCACTCTCCATGCGGAATCAACAGCACTATTGTAATTGTTGCAAAGGTGCCACCGTACGCCGATGTCCTGCGCCTCCCATACGCGTCGAAACAATGATACGTTGGTGTAGGTCTTTTTGAAGTCCCCATGATGGGAGTAGTGGAACTGCGCCAATACCATGTCCCACTCCTCCAGACGCTGGGCAGTTGTCTTGGGCAACGACGACACGCACGCATCCGGATTGAAATTATTTGCGAGAATGTGTTGGTCGGTGTATACACCCACACCACCCCATAGCAGGTACGTACGTTCGTTGTCAACAGTGGCCCACCTCATGTGAGAACCCTTGAAGGTACGGCTGATGAAAGCGAGCGGCTCGTGGGTCATATCTTCCACGGGCGCTCCGCGCCCAAGCTCTTCCTGCGGCACCTCCGTCAAGAAACTACCCCAATGCTTTTGAGACGCATCGGGAAACATCAGCACAGCACGCCAATCTTCGGATGGGACCCTACCAAATCTTGTGCCATGTCCACGCCACAACCATGGCGGCAGTCCACGCCTCACTATTTATCGCACAATAACCATGGCGGCAGTCCACGGCTTACTCTTACTCGCACGATAAGATGCAATCCTCAACGTCCGACGCGGCGCCAACGCCATGTGCTTCTCCATCAAGCGTCGCAGAGGTTCCACCACCTCCGCCAGCCGCGGCAGCGATGTCCGGAACCAGATAACCGCTTGCAAAACATTGCATCAGTTCTCCAGCCGTCTCAGGCCTACTCATGTCGGCCGATCCCTTTAGACGCGCGGAATCGTGGGCCGCCTGTCCACGAGAGTACACCTTGGCACGCCACCTGATCTTCGTATCAATGAAAAGACTTGCACGCACCGGCGAAAGTACTCTTGTCCTCCAGACGTCGAAGGGTCTCGTCCAGAGTATTCAGCAGATCAGTCTCGTCGATACCCCACCATTTTATGTCATTGACCCAGACCGCGCAGTTCAGTCCCTACATAACTTCCGTCGTCACTGCTTGAAAGTGCCCCATCGCGCTTTGCACCCCTTGCAGGACGCGTGTTGGTGTAGATAGATAGCCCTTCCGGTGTGACGATGGTGAAAAGTTCGCGCGCACTCTCCGCGTACGGCGTCTGTCAGTACCCTTGCAGCAGATAATTTTTCCGGAACAATACGCGCCGATTTAGCACGTACATCGGCGCCTCCTGGTTGGGCATGACATTGGGCATCTTTTCTTACACTGCGGATTTGCCCTAAAGCAATCAACTCACCAATAGAAACTCTTCCACAGCCTGGCTTGGCACCGCCATGCCCGGACTCACCCAAACCGCCGAGTTCTCACGACCATGCAAATGGCAACCAGAGCCGCCGCTTAGCCTTTGCGGGGGCGTTCGCCTCCGCCCTGACAGGACGCGCGCCGGGCTTATGAGTCACTGGCAGTGGCTCAACAGCGCCCGACAGAAAGAGTCGAACCGCCTTCCGAGGAATTCTTGCGACATGTTACACGCCCGCGACATTCGTTCCTCGTGGCCTGTTGAACCGCGCAATCCAGCGCTACCTTGCGTTTCCTTTTCTCCGGGGCCATGGGCATGTTGGGCCCTCGAGACAACGCGCGAGCCACAGCCTCATCATGCATTTCCACCGGCTCCTCTTGTACGTTGTGCTGCAGCGCCTCTACCACCACAGCACCACGCCGGCATTCATGGAACGCCGGATTCTCCACCCCTACACGGAGGCGATAGCTTTCTGCCGCGCGTGGGCAGCAAGACTGCCGTATTCTTCTGTCCCAAATGTCTTCAGGGTTGCTCCTCCCAGCAGGATCGTGTTGTCCTCGCCATGCATGAACGAAAAACGGAATGGCTCCAACACCACTGGACCCCACTCCGTGTGCAGCGCCAACCGCAACGGGGACGTCTTATTAGTTATTGACGCCAAACTGCCGTCTGCCATCCGAACATGATGCGCGCCCTCCATTGGCTGCATGACGGGACTACACCCTAAGCGCTGCCCATGCCTTTGGTACACCCCGCACGTCGGATCACGACGCAAAAGCAGGGTTTGTTCAAGGTGGAGACGTAAACTGCAACGTATGCCCCGGGGGTGTGTGTTTCCTGTCATGAGTGCTCCGCTGCAGCGTGTGCTGTGCTCTCATGGGCGAGGCTCGCGCACCCAAAGCGCTCCAACTACCCCTGCACCCCCATTCCGCTGCCAGCTGGGAAAGTAAGCAGCTCCCGAAAACAAGCATCGAAAGGCCGACCTGTGCATGCCCTCAGCTTTGGCTATCAATGCCCGTGGCGGTAAAAAAACCTGTGTGTCAAATGTAGGTGCCAGCAGCGCTCTTTTTGCCTCGTTTTAAAAACTTTTTTGCTCCAACCCGTTGCGAGAGGCATGTCATGCCCATCGCATCACCCTCCCACAAGCAATCATGTTGTGATACAGCAGTGGTCCCTGTATCTAATTCGTACGCAGAGTGTCGGCCGTGCTTTATACAGCTCTAAATAGCGTACCTGTGTGCGTCACACTTTTCTCTTTTGTTGCGTGTCGGTACATATCGGTTTTGCCTCCTTCGTTGTTTGGGCCATCGAGATGCCACCCCTGAAAATCGGGAACGCCGCTTGGGGAGTGTGCGGAAGGAACGAAAAAAGAGTCTGTGTATACTTTTTGTATGTTCTTGCATCACCCCCTGCCGCGGTGCTCTCTTTACCCCGCTCCGGAGGGAGGCCTTGTAGAGGTATGTATTATTCACTCAAGCTCCAGCGCACCGCCTCACAGCGCAGCGGGGGAATTAGGCCTAGTCTAAAATCGGGACTAAAAACTTCACGGGCGCGGCCAGCCTCCCACCGGACACCGTCCGGCCTCCCACTTTGCGGAGGCCGCTTGACGCCGTCTCTCAGCAAGACCCCGTCGTCGCAGGCTCAGGGTGCGCCGTGCACGGCGAGCTGCCCGCACCGCCAAAAGCGTGAAACGCGTTGCAGACGGCATCGTTCGCACTGCTGTTTTGTTCTGTCACGGTTAAGGTTCGCGACGCTGATTGGACGAGACACTGCGGTGTTCCGCTCCGAACCAACATGTCGGGTTTTGCTGCGTAAAAAAGCTCTCTTCGATGTTGTAGTGCGTGTCTTCCATCCAGCCTGCATGCACCGCCACCCGCTGCTCTGCTGTTATCGTTGTGTTTCTTGCACCCACACCCATC